AAACAAAAATACCAAAAACCGACTTAAATTAGTAAATCAAATACTTAAAAGTTCCAACGACCTAACTAAGGCATGCAAACAAATAACCTTCTTGTGAATACCCGCCCACGTAGGAATATACGGTAATGAAAACACTGATAAAGCAGCTAAACTATCCCTCAAAATCCCAGAAATAAGTCTAATCTTACCCATCTCAAAATCAGAATTGAAAAGTGTAAACAAGCAAAAAATCACAAAAAAATGGCATAACCTATATCTAAACTCAAATAGCCAAATCAAAAAAGTACTCAGCAAACCACTAACCAAACCAAAAATTCTCCATCCATCAAAAAAAATCGACGGAGTAATTACTAAACTCCAAACAGGACGCACCAACCTAAATAACCACCTAGAAAAATAAAAAAAAACACTACAGGTAACTGCCCACACTGCAAACAACTAGAAACCCCAGAACACGCACTCATCCACTGCACACACTACCTATCACATAAACAACAAACGTCCACCATACCCAGCTCCCTTAGTTCTCCTCCCCAACCCCATCAGCATCTATTCCAAATCTCAAAATTCCCAAATTCTATATAAGCAACCCCTAAAGCCCCCTCTTGGGTTGCACAGACCACTTTCGCCCCTTTCGGAAACACATTAAATGGCCTGGCCGTGCCCGTGTGCGAAATACGCATCAGTCGGAAAGCGCACGTTAAATCTCCAAAGTAAGTAAGTAAGTAAGTAGGAAAGGGTGTCAAAATGGCTAATGCACAGGTTTAAGTGAGATTTGTTGAAAATAAGCATGGACAGAATGATGATCTTCAGCACCATCAGGAACATCAGACATCTGTCATCTGCCGAGAATTTCTTCTGCGACGGCACCTTCAGTGTTCACCCAGAGATTTTTTACCAGCTTTACACCATCCATACTTTTGTTGCTGGCAAAATGGTACCACTCATCTATGGTCCCACGCCAGTCAACCTACATGAAATTCTTTCAACGTGTTAAGAAGATTGCTGCAGACAACATTCCCCTAGCACCATCAAAGATCTTCACCGACTTCGAAGCAGCTGCGCAGAATGCCGTCAGAGATACCTTTCAGTGCCAGACCCAAAGGTTGTCTGTTTCATTATAGACAGTCAATCTGGAGAAATGCCCAGAAGAATGGACTTCAGACCTTGTATAAGACCGATGACAATGTGAAACTCTTGGTAAGGAGAGCCTCAGCCCTGCCACTGGTGAGTATGTGTGACATCGACGATGTGTGGATGGCAGCCCTAGAAGAAGCAAACTTTGACGATCCACGGGTGCTGAGGTTTGCAGATTATGTTACTGAACAGTGGGTGGAGAGTGATGGTCGCAGCATGTGGAACCACTTCGAGACAGTGGGTTCCAGAACCACAAACAATTTGGAAGGCTGGCATGGTAAGCTAGGCAAACAGGGGCCTTGCCATCCAAATATATTCAAATTCATTGACAGTTTAAAAAAAGAACAGTGTTTTGTAGAGTCACTGCTCCTGCAAATCCAGGCTGGTGGGCGACTTCCTACAAAGCAGAGGAAGTACCGCAATGTGGATAGCGGTATTGAGAGGGAAAAGCAGGAGTTGTTGACAGGGCTCAAGTCACCAACAGAATATGCTGATTCTGTGGCAAGATTTATTGGTTTGTGAGTTAAAATATATGTGAATTGTAAATAATTAATTTAATTTCTGACTTTTATAATTTCTGAAGTTTATATATTTTGTATGTATGAACACATGTATGATTTATAGTGTATGCTGTATGTACATGAGAAATAAAATAACAAAAGTCATGTTGCCCTCTTTTAAATCCCCTTTTAATCCTCATAATCACTCTATTGTACACTTGTCAGTAATGGTTGGGTAATTTTTAACCCAGAATAATAGGTGCTGGCAAACCGAAGTGTCCCCAAAACAGAAGCGGTTATATTTTCCTTAAAAGATGAATCAGACCTTATTACCTTGTACTTTGATGAATGTAAAGTTAAGAATGTTGAAAGTCATAAACATTTTGGTATAACGTTTGCATCAAACGGAAAATGGTCCTGTCATGTAGATAACATAATTAAATCAACATCAAAAATGATAAATTCAATGAGAAAATTAAAGTTCATATTGAACAGAAATACATTAAATAAAGTGTATATAATTTTCATAAGACCCCATTTTGAATATGCGTTTGAAGTGTGGGATGGGTGTAATATAGAATTATCAATTCAGTTAGAAAATCTCCAACTAGAAGCTGCCAGAGTAGTTACTGGGCTCCCAAAGTATACTTCGCACACACACACACACACATCTGTAATATGAAACAGGATGGGAAACGTTAATAGAACGAAGGAGGAAACGTAAGCTATGTTTGTTCTACAAAATACAAAGTAATATTGCCCCAACTTATCTTAAAGACATTGTACCAACCACTGTAAGTTCAAATGTACCATATAATTTAAGAAATTCAGACAATATTGAGATTCCATATACTAGATTAAAACACTCAACGTGTTCTTTTATTCCATCAGCTGTAAGGTTATGGAACACTATTCCTGTAGCAGGTAGAAATTGTACATCTACATCCCAATTCAAGACATACGTACAAAAAGAGCAAGTCATTGCCCCTCCATATTTTTCCTATGGTGTTAGAAAGTTGAATATTTATCATACTTGATTAAGATACATGAAATCGGGTTAAATTACGATTTATACAGAATAGAGATAAAATGTGATCCAATATGTCAATGTGGTAATCCATGTTAAAACGCATATGATTATTTATTAAAGTGTCCATTGTATGTCCATCAAAGAAAAACTATGTTAAGAATAATTTCGGACATTTTACAGAATGCCGTGACCAAAAATGATAAATTAGATTTAAGTTTGGTTTTAAACGGAAATGAATGTTTGTCCATTATCGAAAATCAACACATCTTAAAGCAGTGAAAATGTTTATACAAAGAGATTTGGGTAACACTTTAATGTACATATACTTGTCTCTCTTTTGTACATTTCTTTTGTTATCTTTACACTCTCATCTTTTCTGTTTTCCTTGTATATGATTTACTCTACAAGCTTTTGTAAATACTATGGAGAGGGAGTCCTAAGTTGGATAACTTGTTCCCAATCCATTTCAATCTGAATATAATATGTTTATGTAAAAAAAATAAAATTAGACAAAATGGGTTCGACTCACACGCTTGCACTTTTCTTCTTTAACTAAGTGCTCCTGTTGTCTGGGTTTGGGTGTCCAGTGTCCTGAAGACTATCGGTATACACCTTTAGTAGAGCAGACAACTTCATGATCTTCTTTCAGTATCTTGCTGTTGATAACTTCCGACACTGATATCATGGCTTTCTTGTGTGCCTCTTCTATTTGATGCTGTCTAAGTTGTTCCTCCGGTTAACAGCTCCGCCATTTCTAAGGATTCTGTATGTAACCAGTTCGGCACGACTTGTGATATTTTGCTTCAAAGGCAAATAGATCCTTCCCTCTGATCTGCAGCAGGAGAGGCTCATGGTTTTGACTTTCAGCTACTTCGATGACATGCTGTCATCCATCCTGATTGAAGTTTGTGAGGCCTTCTGTTGTCCAGCTTCCTTTTGATTTGAATTTCTTTTGGAATACGACCTACAAAAGATGCAGTCAGGTTGGAAGATGATGGGCTCACAGTATGAACGCCGAATTGGGCGGCCAGCTAGCTCCATAGATTCTATTTCAGGTTGTTTCAAGCAGTCAAGGTTCATTGTTAAACTCTGATAACATTCTCTGAGATATCCATGGGTTTCTTCCAGAACTTCCGGCAGGCTTGAACCTGACACTTCCATTCGATTCTGCAATTCTGGAGGTTCTGCCATCCTTCTACGCTTGATCTCCTTCAACTCTTCATTATTTTCATCAGGATCTTTGGCCTTGCTCAGAAGTTGTTGTGGGCCATACTTCAAGCCAGATACACGTATGATGCACACTGGCTCTGGATCACTGGGGATACGTTTTAAATTTTCATATATATTAACTTGGGTATTCTGTAAGAGAACCTTAAGCATGTGATTGGAATTTCATTTATTTCTGTGAATGCATGGTCCCTGTTCATTTTAAGCCATTCATATACGATTTGGATGATTAGCATTTGGACATTTTCTGTAAATTGGAAACTTAAGTAGTTAAGTTATGTATGAATTGAATGTTAGTAAGTTGATTCGTTTTGTACCTTCAGTGGTGCCGACTGCAAATTCACCTTAACTAGTAGCTGTAATAAAGTATCTGAAACTCAACTTAAAATGGCAAAACTTGTCAAAATATCAAGCCTACATCCAAGAAATTGATTTGTATATTTGCGGAAATAAATAACATTTACATTATGATAATTTTTTTGGTGCAGCTTTATGGTTGCAATCTTGAATATGTTTCATTCATATAAGCTGAAAATGTAATATTGGGTAGCCTACTCTGATATTATAAGAGTAAATTTGTTCCAAATTTTGCAAATGATTTTCAACTGGTAACATCGCATTGTAAGAAGTACTTCTAGAGATGTACTGGAACATGTTTTAGAAGATTATAGTGGAATCAGGCACACGTACCTAGAACATATACGGGATTAAAGGTTTGCTCGAGAACAATTTGGTTTTGTTGGGAAATATGATGTTTGATTTGCCAAAGGTTGGTCCATATTCACCAAATACCAATTATTGATACATCATTGGAGAGGTACTTATACATTGCTTCCACGGGTATATCACCCTTGATGATCAGTGGATCAGTAGTGAAATGACAACCCAAAATGTAATCATACCCCTAGTGATATACGGCAAAACCAGGCAAAAACGCGATAAAGGGTACCATACTTTGAACATTCGACCCAACTTTTTTTCTTGTTAACATTCAAAATCAAGTTTAGTATGTTTATGGGCTTTTTAAAAAAATTAGTGGGGTTTGGATGTGTGTGTGTGTGGGCGGGGGTGGGTATTATCACTACACTTCCAACTTCACTTTACAGGACGAACACCCATTGCAGGACAAACACCCAACAGTGACTTGACAATGTGTGTTCAGTCTACAACTGAAGCATGCAAATCGACCTTCAGTGTAGAAGCCAGACAATGCGATGGGTTTGAGGTTTACCTTTTGCCTCAAGCTCCAGTCCACCGAGCTGTGTATTGTTTAGGTATGTATGATTAGTATTGGAGCACTCCTAAAGCCCAATTTTATTTGTGTTAAAACTCTTAACCGCCCCAAAAGCAGTTGAGATGTTGCTAATGGAGTATGGCTGGGTACTTTTGGGTAAGTTGGAGAGAGAAAGTGAAGAGTGAGAGATTGTTGCGCTACTAGGTAGTTCAAATGATCTCTTGATCAGTAGACATTATATGTCCACAAGGACATATTGTGTCTGTGACAGCTTTTGAAACAACTAGAATTGTGGATAATTTATTTATCAACCTCTGTTGTGTCTCTCAAGTGATGAAACAGCAACTGACACTTTAAAATACACCAGATTGTTAGCAGAGCATAGAGAGGTCAGATCCAATTTGATATCCACATGCCATGATGTCTACCATGGATCTCTCAGAAAGACTGATTATTGAGAAATTAGTGTGGTGATGTTCCTGCCCAATGTATGGACAATGTTTTTTATGCTTAGTGTAACTGTTTGGGTGATTCTCATCCTGTAATGTCATGACAGCTTTTTGTCCACTTTAAGGATGCGTCATTTGAGAATTGTGTTGATGAATAAGTTATCCACAAAATAATTTTAGTGGACTCATCTTTGAGAGGAATAGGCACTTCTCTTTTAGGTGATTCTTGAAAATTGAAATTAACCAAATTCAGAAATTAGCTCTAATACCTAAGACTGGTCCTATGAGATGGAATTAATGCTCTTTAACAGAAAGTATATGGAGAGTCTATGTTAATGAGGACCTGATGAATATGTAAAGTAACAAGACTTGACCAGAGGAATGACAGTCACTCATATTAAGCCCAGTTGAGCAGTCACACTTTGCTATTTCGCTTATTTGCTTCAAATGCACATTCGCATAATGTAGAATATGAGCATGATATATACTTTTATGACATTTTTATATATATAGCTATAGGGATATAGTTATGGGCATGTCCGTCCGTCTGTCCGTCCATCTGTCTGAATCGTTTCCAGAGCAGAACTCGAAAACCGTTAAATATTTCTTCATCAAACTTTACATTTATATCACTTAAGTGGTGAAATTGTGCTTTTTGCTATTTTGGAATTTTTCCAATTTCTTTATTTTCCAATTTTCATGAAAGCATGCTGGACATAGGCTAACTTTGTGAGTGATGTTTGTTTCCGGGGCAGAACTCCGAAACTGTTAAAAATTTCAAACTTTGTATTTATATCATTCAAGTGGTAAATGCTATTTAGGAATTTAAAAAAATTATTATTTTTTACGTTTCCATGGCAACAAGTTGGACTTAGGTTCTATAAGGGCGGTGTTCATTTCCGGAGCAGAACTCAAAAACCGTTAAATACTTTCTTACAAAACTTTGCATGTCTACCAGGCACATACTGAACTGGTGCCTTTAGCTATTTAGGAATTTTTACGTTTCCATGGTAACAAGTTGTACTTAGGTTCTATAAGGGTGGTGTTCGTTTCCAGAGCAGAACTCAAAAACCATTAAATACTTTCTTACAAAACTTTGCATGTCTACCAGGCACATACTAAACTGGTGCCTTTAGCTATTTAGGAATTTTGAATTTATTTATTTTTTACGTTTCCGTGGCAACAAGTTGGATTTAAGTTTTAATATAGGATGAGTATAGCAAATAAACTGCTAAGTATTTCCTTGTCAAAAATTGCATGTCTATATATAAAGCGCATACTGAGCTGGTGCCAATTGATATTCAGGAGTTTTAGAAATGTTTATTTTAGAATTTCCATTGCAGCTATTTTGACATGGGCGAAAGGGAAATGTTGGGACAGTTACCTGGTTTGGGACCATAACGTGTTAAAATGGGCGGGGGATATAGATGACTTTGTTGGCTATACGCATTTTTAGTTATTGTTTCTTGTAATTTCTCATTTGTTTGCATAAAAAAAACCCACAGAAACACACTTGTTTTACTTTCCATTTCATATGGATGCAACCATGGTGGATTTTTTGTGGGCAAACAATGTATGCTTCTTTAAGAAGATTCAACTCGACATATTACATACAGAATTGCACATTTACTTGTGGTTACTTTACAGACAGCTGTTGGGGGGATTTGTCATCTTTCTAATGACTCTTGTTAATAATTCATTCAGTAATTTTTAATTGATGAATTATCATCATGCTAAATATTGAAAAATGGAAAGTGATTGTTTATTTGATTGCAATACATTGTCACATTAAAGCTCTTCTTTATGATTACTTTGTAGCAGATTCTTTTTTGTTCAAAATATTTATAAGATAAACAATATATGTCTTTTTAAAATGATTCCAAATAGAATTGTGACAAGCCACTGCCACCACTGACCTCCTATAAAGACAGGAAGAAAAATAAGTGTTCTCCAAATCTATGTTTATTTCACATGTTTGAAGTTTTTGTTCAGTCAGCAGTTCTCTAAATCAAGTAATTAAAAAAAAAATGACCAAAAGTAAGAATTGCTTGTTCCTTGACTATCAGCACTTTGTGGTTGTAGAAAACAACAATAGTTATCATTCAAAGAATACTGCCTCTATTAATAGGCCTTCATTAACCCATGCTTGCTGTAAAAGGTGACTATGCTGGTCATAAGAGGAGACTAACAGGATCGGGTGGCCATGATCAGGCTTGCTGACTTGGTTGATGCATATAATCATTTCCCAATTGTGCGGATCGATGCTCATGTTTTCAATCACTGTGTTATCTGGTCCAGACCCGATTATTGACAGTCTGTCATCATATAGCTGGAATATTAAGGAGTGTGGCTTTAAACAATAAACAAACTACATCATTGCCAGAAATCCTGTACTTCGGTCGTCATCATATGTGGATAATTAACAATGAAGAAAACTTCTGTTGAAAATTTTATTGGGAGATAATTTAAAGTGAGATCATAACCGAATACATATTTTTTGGCACTTAGGTAATAGAGGTTTTGTATTAGTGAGAATTGTAATCTTTCTAATACAACTGCATTGATCTTTGCATTGCTGACTAAATACCTCAGGAAAATGTTTAGCCTGCCAACAGATGTGTTGACTTGTTTAACACCATTTTTACTTTTTTCAGTGGCAAACCATGGAGGTAAGATTAAATGTTTGTTCATCAAGTGGTGTTATTGCCATATGTTTACAGAATGTGTAATAATGACCATATATTAAAGAAATTGTCTTGGAAGTTATTGGCTCCGATGACACAGTCAACTGGTCGTGGGTTTGAATCCCAGATTTAATCTCATTCATCCTTGGTTATCCAGGGAATTATTTCTCTATTCCATTCCGAGAAATACTCTGGATTTTTTTAACCTCATCGAAGGTTTGTTTTAGAAGTCACATTAGTAGCTCCATCTCTCCTTATCTTCCTGAATGTGCTGCTCATAACAATGATATGATTGGATGGCTGCAGATGACAAATTGGGCTTTCAATGGCACTTACAAACAGATTTTGATTCTGATTCTGATTGGTCAATGCAAGTTGCAATATACCATCAATCAATCAAGTTTATTTCATAATTGAGGCCACATGGCCCATAGTACAGTTATAAGATAAAAAAACATTTTAGGTCACATGTCCAGAGTGTAACATCTCTGTCGATCTCATTTAAAATAATTTACATAAATATAAAGCTATCAAGCATAGTACATTAATATCACTTGATTTAAACAAATTTGTAAACATAATATTACCTTTATAATATTTCTGTAATGGGGTAAAAAAAAGTATTTCTTACCTACAAAAAAGACATGGTTTTCATCCTCAACTAAATGAAGGTCACATTCTTTACATTATAGATTCTGTATGAGGTATATTTAACAATGACCTTTTACGAATAATGCTGACTCGAAAATTGTGAAGTCAAGAGATATTCGAAATTTACACATTGCTCTAACTAATCGTTTGTCTCTGAGTACTGTTATGTATAATTTGGGTTGCAGGAAAGATTTTATATCAGCATAATGCACTAAAAAAGTAGACTACTCTAAACTCTGGTACCCTGATTGGAAATATATATCTCTTAAGGGTCTTCTAAATGCAGATAAAAACATGTTCTTATGACCAACATCTTGGAATAACCACACATACGCAAAACCGCTATTAAATATCATTTGATAACAATAGATCATGAGGGAGATATCTCAAGCCTTATAGTGCAATACCTGTGGGAAACCTGCGCTATAAATGGAATAGATTTGAAATTGACTCTATTGCTCCTCCCAGGTTTATGCTTCAATGATTATTCAGGTTGATATTTCAGTTTCAGGATCTCCACAATTTGATGAAAAACCACGTATTACTTTTGAGTTAATGGACAAAGAATATTCAAGTGAACTATTATTCCGGTGTAACTTTACCCGTTCTTCTGAAGACCTGTTTTACAAGACCATCTGGTATGTGGAAGGAGCCCCAATTTATACGTTCGAACCTCTTGAGTGGAACTCGGATGACTTTGACTACATTGCAAACAGGACATTGACAGAACAGTTGCTGAAGGACAATGGGGTTGAGAAGGCTGGATTTAATGTACGTAAGTCCTGACCAAAGGGGAGATGCTAAAGTAGGCATAACCTACGTGTAAATATGTTCTTGAATGTAGAAAAATTAAACAGCCAAGCACTTGTACACGTATCCTTCAAATCAAAGCTACTTTGACGAAAATACTATCTGTTGGGCTTGCATGACTGTCAGACAACTTAAAGGGGATAAATGGGTAGAATAGGTAACAAGTGCCTGGCAGTTGACAAATATTCTTTGTGATATATACAGTGAAACCCTGTTTGTTTGGCCATTGTATTTGTCTTTGAAATGAATTCAGAAGTTGGAAGAAAATGAATACATGAATTCTTTTATGGATAGCAACTTCTTTTGTTCTGTATTATGATGTTACAAAGCAACTTCTTGCTCCTTCATCAGCTGAATGCTGAGGAAGTGCATAGAGTTAAATCTTGATATAGTCTCACAAGACAGGGTGGGATGAATGTACGAGGAGCTCCTCAGTTACACGAATCGACATCTTCAACGGGATCATTCCTGCTGTTGCAATCATAATCATCAAAACTGCACTTGCGCCCTTTGGGATCCCTATCAGCACAGTGTTTTTGCAGACCACCCATGTGGCTGGGAGAGCTACCCCTAACACTTGAAATCGTATCCTCCATGGTGTGGTTATCCTGAAGCTTCTTCCTGTCCTTACTCCTGGCTAACTGATTAAATCTGCTCTCATCGGGATCAGCCCTTTGATTGCCATTGGCATGAAGAGCCTTGACATCCCTCTCCTTCTGATAGATGTTTGTCTCTGTTGGTCTGTCGTGTAGACCTACGTTCTACAAGCCACTCACGATTGTCCCCTGTTTCCGTTTCGGAACGTAGAATCATTCCTGCAGGAAGTGACCTTCCCTCACCAGAATCATTGCGGACTATTGGTGCTACCTCCTCATGCTAATTTGACTTCCATACTGGCTCCTGCACAGACCGTTCCTCTCAGTCTGAATGTTGATCCTGCACTGTCTGGTATCGATGTGGTTCATCAAGGGAACCAACATCAACACCCCACTCCTCGGTGTAGCCATCATCATCGGTTTCGATAAATCATGTCAGCAATGTCACATATATATAACCTGCCTTTGCTATTGTGATGCTTTCAGTGGATGGGTGTTTTAAGGCTTTTTTTTAGAATTCTGTACTGTCGTCAACCAAGAAACGATAGTGGACAGGCTCTCCATTGTTATCTTACCTTGTTTTGTTTTTTCAACTATTGATGAAGGAGGATGCACTATCCATTCTCATTCTTCACAGCTGATTTTTCCCACCTTTTCGATGACCACAGCCTGTGTGCGTGAATAGATACGATCTCCTTCTACAGTCATCCCACATTCAGCCTAACACCCACTGACCTGTATTTTCAAACTGGTTATTCTGTTGATTGATGTTTATAGAAGAATCAACTTGATCTTATTGGATTTTTGCTACAAGCTATGTTTAACCATAGTCGCTCACTCACTCACTCACTCACTCACTCTCTCACTCTTTCACTCTTTCACCTACACATCACCTGGATCGGATTTTTTATATTGGTTTATAGACATTATTACAGTTTAGATTGGCATTGTTCTCCCTTTCCCATTTCATGAAATCACCAAACACTCTCCTCAGCATTCGATTTATCTGTTGCTCAAGGAGATTGCCAATTTATTAACGATCAAGATTGGGTGATTTACCACTCTCAAGATAGACATTATCAAAGAACTGAAGATCGACTGGATTGTGAGACACAGAGATTATTTTTTTCCGTCTAACTTACATGCATCAGATATCACGTCATGCATTCTACAGGGAACTGGCTGCATGTACATTGTTATTTCTTCGAAATTTGGGACACCGTTTTGTTCGTCTGCAACACAGTTCCCTTTTTGTTTATCATGTGAATGAGGTGTGTGCAAACATATACTGGTTTCCCTGCTCTAGAGCTCTTGTAATTTTTCGCCACCTCAACCAATAGTGCCCATAGCCATGTATGAGAGGATACCAGTCTAAGCAAGGATAAAGTATTCCAGCCCTGGCGCAGGGATGTTTTCAAAGTGCATGTCAGGATATTTCTCTAGGTTGTAACAAACCCTCTTAGGCGGACCTGTCGCAAGCTGTTCAGTGCACTTCACCTACTGTCGTTGTTGACGTGTAAGCGAGTAGATCAATATCGATTTTTGAATCGAAGTAACTGCATCAGTACTTTTAGTTCGACCTCAATGTCATGATGGCACTCAGCTCCGATTACTGGGTACCCGACAACTTCCTCACCTATGATGTTCCTGCCGTACCAGTACTTATGTCTGTACCCAGTGTCTGGGTCCATGCCTACTTAAGAGCAACCAGCAGCTTCAGATGTCTGCATGGTTCTTTTTAAGGACGTTTTGTGCAAGCCAGTTTCGACAGCGCCTGCCATTTCCAGACCTAGAATTTCCCGGTCGTCAAGGGCAAGTCGTTCCTTGTCTCCTGCGCTTTCACTTCGACACAGTCACTCCCAAATCGATGACATTTCCAGCCTTGCCCAGGATCAATTGGATGACTTTGTCAACTACCACTAACAAGGATTGACATAGCCAGGATCGATAGCCCTATTCTGACAGGGTATGGACCTTCTCAAGATCAACATTCAACTGATTGAACTCACACGGACCACTCCTGTTCGTCATGATGATTGCTGTCTTTTGGAAGGCAATTATTAGATTTGGTGGATCGATAGTCAATGTGAAATTGCTCTCCATCTACAAGCTATGCAGATTTTTGGAGTGGCCGCAATCACTACCACGAATCAACCCTCAGCGCCAAACTTTTGGCCTTCGTCTGGTACATCAACTATTGGGCTTCACCAAGTTGATGTCCCTCTTATCACTGATCTTTCCCATCACAGATCCTTAGCCAGACATGGGGCCACAACACTCTGGTCATCTCATGGCAGTACCTAAATGGCAACACTTTTTTCCCGAGTTGCCAAGAACATCACTGAGGCTCACTGAGGCTCACCATACCTCCAGACCCTATAAATGGAATGTGTTGGAAGCCTAGTGTTGAGCTCGTGATATCACCAAGCTGACTGCTGCCTCTTCTCGAAAGGTCGCTGAGTGTCTGCAACATCTGAGATCGACTCTGAAATTTGAGGGCTCTACTTTGCCTACTTATTCCACTTTCTACGTCAGGTATCAGTCACCGATGTTCATGGTGTACACAAGTTCGGTCTCTTGGTCCTGGAGCAACAATTGACAGCTACACAACAGCGCAGATAGATGATACTTGTACCCCTGTCCTGCAGCCTGGTACTCTGTTTCCTGTACATACAGAATAATCATTGGAACGGAACGTCCTTCGTTTGTTTATTGTTGTTTTTCAGGTTCCCAGACCGATCTTCAACATCAAAGTTGCTGCAAGGCACAGCCTTTACATGCAGTGTCTGAACCTTTATTTCACTCATCTCTGCCTTGAGTATTTGTGATGTTTTGGTTAGGAGATCCTCTTGTGGGTGTTGTTGGACTGCACACTATTGTCTGTCAGAGATAGTGCCGGGCCCTGTTTGAAGAATCAGTCCAGGATCGATTTTAAGTTCTCAGCTGTATCGCCTGTGCGTTTTCAGCTATGTGGTCATTCTATGAACGATGACATACGTAAAAACATGTTTGGCATGTATCCCTGATCTCATGCTGTTTTGCCCAATTTATGTATCGGGATCGTATCAGCGGTTGTTTGTGTGTTTTTCTGCCTACAAGTTCAAGTCTTTCAGGCACTAGGCATTGTTTTAATTTTTACTTGTTGCACTATTTAGCTGAAGCTACCTCGAGTATATCTCAAGGTTGTAGTCTATACAAGCTAGGGTATCTGCTGTGTATGACCCAACTGGGAATGAAATGCATAGTGTGAGATAGAAATCTCACACATGATGTGCCAACCTTCTAGCCTGAAAGAGATGGAGTTGATAGAGATACACACGTGATGGGGTCGTGTGAGGTTACTGTGCTCTACACGTGATGGGGTCGTGTGAGGTTACTGTGCTCTACACGTGATGGGGTCGTGTGAGGTTACTGTGCTCTACACGTGATGGGGTCGTGTGAGGTTACTGTGCTCTACACGTGATGGGGTCGTGTGAGGCTACCGTGCTCTACACGTGATGGGGTCGCGTGAGGTTACTGTGCTCTACACGTGATCGGGTCGCATGAGGTTACCGTGCACAGAGCACATTATTGACCTAGTTATTGGTCAATAACCAGAGGGATGCTGGGGTGTGTTTGGGTGAAGTGTTTTGTTTTAGAAGCTTGAAACATGGTTCAAGCATGATTCCACATAGGTTCAAAGAAGAAATACATAGTGTAAGATAGGATAAGTATATAAATTTACAATTTATACAAAAATTTCCAATATTCACTCTATGCACATCTTTCCACTCAGCATTCACCTGATGAAGGAGCATGAATAACTAAACTCTGAAATGTCGTGATGAAGAAATAGCTTAGTAGACCTGTGAATACCTGGGTTAGAATAGGTCTTCAGCGACCCATACTGAAGAGGTGAAAATGCTCATCGACGAACAGGATCAGGTGATCTCAGGCTTGCTGACTTGGTTGATGCTAGTCGTCATATCCCAGTTGCTTGGATCAGTGCTTATGTCAATCAAGGGATTGTCTGATCTGGTCTCGATTATTTACAGACCACCGTCATATAGCTGGAATAATGCTGAGTGTGGTGTTAAACTCTTCGTTTCTGGGTCTTTAATAAGATTTACTGCTTTTTAAAAAACTCATTTACTCCTCATAATAAATTTAAGGCTACTTAAGTGCTCTTTTTGCTCCCCTCAAGGATCACGTTTCAAGGCCTGTACAGTATATCTGTAAAATTAGTTGCAATACCACCTCTATCACAAATTGGGACTCAATTGTTAACACTGGGAAAGTCATGCTTTAATTTGAAGTAATAATGTTTCTCTGAGTAATTTAATGAACATGCTGTGAGGATATATGTTAAGTAGAGTGTGGTTTTGGTGAATTATGCTTTTTATTGCAGTTACAATGTGGTGTTCAGGCTCTGTATGCTCCCGGTGGAGCAACATCCAGTGGCGAATTATCAGAAGTCCAGTTTGTCGGAGTGAAGATTAAATGGGTATGTTGCTCACTTTAAGCTTTGCAGTATTGATATGTTATCATCATGCTAACTATAATATATTTGTATTTCTGGTGATGTATATTTTGTTTTGGTGGTAGGGTGTGGTTGGGTGCGCTTAAAAAACCCAACCAATGGGCAATTTTTTGTTCCAAAGGGCAATAACTCTCCTTTTGAAATGATATAAGCGACGGTCCAAACTGTCACTTCCGGTCTGGTTCCCGGATCAATGCGCGCTGCGACAACTACTGACATGTAGAGATGGAGCCAAGCTAAAGAGTTATCCTGTTGCACCTTCGTTCAAAAACGGTCGTTTACAACTGAATAGTTTTAACTAGCACATATTTTGTAGTGATTATTAGTTTATAATATCAACATTTGTTGAGTCTTCAACTACAAGACGAATTGTCACTTTGGAATATAGCGGGAAAAACGTCATGAAAAATGGTATATTGCCACGGTATTTTCTACGTCAGAAAACAGCGAGGCATTCTGTCAGTCTGGGCTAACATATTGCATCGATGAAATATTGCAAACTCATTTTATTTATCAGCCTTTGCGTTATTTCCCACAACAATTCAAACATTTAAATCTCAACAAATACTACCACGGACTTCAATTTAATAAAATTAGTGATACGCCAACATTTGCAGCACATAGACATCTTTGACAGGCCTTTACCAATGATCTATATAGTAAGTATACATCCGTGCCTTTACAAATATTTTAAGAAGAAATAACGTTCAAAATAATAAAACAACTGATTTTTAATGTTAATTTTTATATCAATATTAAAGTTGCATCTGAATATTTAAATTTATATTATTTTTTTTAGAAATAGGCCAAATGAACATCTACCATGCATCTATTAAGCACTCAGTTACTCAGTTGCAATATACATATTAGTCATCATACATTAAAATAAGAGATTTACCCACAATATTCTGCCGCTTATAACATATGTCCCACCATTAAGTGCTCTAAGTCATCACAGGTGTTAATTCATTGATCCATCATTTCTTACAGAATTCTGATACTCATGCTCTTAAAATAGTAGTTAATTACAGAGATGTGTCCCAACAAACAACAAATCATACTGACTACCCCCCAAAATGTGTATGATGCATAAATAGATCTAAATCATAGTTTTATCTTCTTGTTTTAGTAACATAACATTTATTTTAATGTTGACAAATTATTTCCCATACAAACCCACACACTATCCTGCTGTATCTAACTATCCTGATTTTTATTCAACAGTACTTCAAGACACCTGCAGTATAAAGTATATTTTGTAGATATTATTATCATATAGCAAATATGAATTTTATATGAAAATATGAATATGAAAGTTTATCATCAAATCTTCTGATGGTTAAATAAATGAACCCCCAGTCAATCCATGTAGATAAATGGATATATTTATGTTATTTGATTTTGCATATAACAGATTATACTTACATATTTTACAGTCAGTGTCTCTAATCAGGCCCAATATGTTTTTGACTGAAAATTTCAGTCAATATGCATATTGACTGATTCACTCAGATAAGGTATATTTTTTCTTAAATTTTCATTCATTTATTATTGCCTCCAAAAATAGGACCGGAATTTAGACAGACTGGCTGAAATGACTAAGACTGCATAATTAAATCTCCTCAATTTAATTTGGATCTATTTTAATCTTATCAAGATCAAAGTAACTAATGTAAAAAATACAAAATGTTTTCACAATGAATTGATTGATTCTCCAAGCCTGAAAGAATACCAGAGTCATTTTTTATGTTACTTATCTTTATTTATTAGCATAATATTCAGTTCAGAAACAGATGACAGCTAAAAAGTCATGCATGTGTAATCAAATAATAGTACACATGCACAAGTGTGCCAAGATATTAAATAAGCTAGAAAATAAATAAGAGTCATTGTGCAATGCAGATATCTTTTGGTGTGAAGAGAAAGAAGAAAAATTTATTAATTTGTTTATGTTGGAATTTGAAACATCAGTTTAGAAAAAGGAAACATAAACAGCAAGGCCTAATGAAGTTAAGAATCAGCTTTATCTGTGTCACAATCATATGATTATTGTCAATGCAAACTGGATTTAGACACTGCATTGTGATACACAATCAACATTATAGAGATTGGCAATTAGCATGATAATATATTTTGTTTTATTTTATAAAAATTGTAGTTGGAACAAATACTCTTGAATATGTATTTTAACTAATATATAGGGTCCTGAATTATTATTTTTTACTTTGATAAATTTAAAAAAAGGCCAAAATAATATATATCTTTCATTGATCATATTGAAATATAATCATGGTAGTATTTGGCAACAAACAGCTACCATTCATATACATAAAATCCTTGTATACAACATGCACCAATTAACCCTTAAATATCAAAACAGGTTTCAGTGATTTCCATTTCTTTTATTTTGAACATTGAATCATGATATCTAGTTGATGACGAAATTTTACAGTGCCTGTTACTCTTACAATTTATTGAGAACATTTCTCATTGCTCTCTGTTATATATCTGACAAATACTTAGGCCTACATGTGTTGCTGTCAATATTCACAACATTGAGGCTACGGGCAACGTTGCATGCGAGCTTCACATTTCGCGTGCCGTATAGCCTCACCGTTGTACATACTGAAATGCATGCATATGGTGTAGCCTGCTCGGCGATGCTACAACATAGATATAGGAACGTATACAAAATCTACTTAATTTTCATATTCATACATCAAGGGCAACACTTTCAGTACCGATTGCAAAACGTCAACAAAGCGACCTGGGATTGAACGATCAGCTGATCTCACCGCATCGCTTCGAACGACTATCTAGTGGATATCTATACAATATAATCAGTCGTGTTCATCCCTGATGTATCATTAATTCAAGGAACATTTATTTCCGGACATGGCAATAGATAAATCATTGTTTGGGCGAAAAAATAAGCTCTCCACACACAAGCGTGACTGTTGCCGACAGAGGTGAAGCTTATACTAGTTAACTGTCTATAGGCGTCATAGTAACATGTAGTGCTCGTATCGCGCATACCACATGCGCCGTCAGTTTAAGGTTGGACCGTCCGGGTCAGCGCACCTAGCGGGTTAGTGAAGGGAAGATAAATTGAAAAAGATCGCCCATTAATGAATCTATTTCTGAAAACAATTTTGCATTTCTAAACTAAACAAATAGTCATCATGTGTTGTATTTGTTGAAGTCACTAAATTGTTTAGTTAAATGTGTTCAGTCATCAACAGGCTAAGATTACTTTGCTTCAAATAACACAAGACCAATTTGGAATGATTGTTTGAATGCTTTGGAAAGATAGCTCATTCCAAACTTTCCAAAGCTTGGAAAGATCGATCTTTCCAGAAAATCCAAAATTGGAATGGCAACATTTCCAAACATATTTCCAACACAGGAAATGTTTGGAATGACTTGGAATGACATTGAATGGTTTGTAATGGTTTGGAATTGTTTGGAAATATGGTTAGAATGAACAAGTTGAAATATGTTTTATCAGTAATTTGAACAATAAAAAGACTATGAATTATTTATTGAGTTTAAACTATATATAATAAATAAAATAAATAAAATTTATCTCAAACATTCACTTCTTGTCTGTCTAGCGAGGGGCTTTTACAGTCGCATTCTCCCTAAGGTGAGAGAGAGACCCGCACTTGACTCGAAGACACTTACTTACTTATATTGGAGATTTAACGTGTGCTATCCGACTGCAAGCGTATGTCGCACACGGGCCCGGCCAGGCTATTTAATATGTTTCCAAAAAGGGGAAAAGTGAGATTGTGCAACCCAGGAGGGGGGGGGCTTTAGGAGTTGCTTATATAGATTTTGAGATTTGGAAAGAATGCCAAGAGTGGGTGGGGGACAAACTAAGGGAGCTGTGTGTGTTGGGTGGTTGTTAGATAAGGTAGTTTTGGTTTTATTATTTTATTTGGGGTTTAAATGCGACTAATTAGTCCTGTTTTAATTAGGTATAAACCTTTTTTTCTAATTTATTTTGTGGATTTAGGATTGATTCTAGTGTAAGTCCGGTTTTAAGATTTAGGGTGGTCTGTAGTGTTGTTCGGTGTGTTTGGTAGTGTGTGCAGTGAATGAGTACGTGTCCTGGTGTTTCTTGTTGTTTGCAATGTGGGCAGTTTCCTGATGTGTGTAGATTAGCTATTTTACGGTGATTATTTAGTTTAGTGTGGCCTGTTTGTAGTTTAGTAATTATTCTGTCGATTTTTTTGGATGGGTGTAGTAATTTTGGTTTATTTAGGGGTTTTTTTGAGTACTTTCCTGATTTGGCTATTTAAGTTTTGGTATACATTTTGCCATTTTTTGCAGATTTTTTGTTTAGTGAGACTTTTGATTTCTGATTTTGAGCTGGGTAAGTCTAAGCTTATTTCTGGGAGTTTAAGGGATAATTTTGCTGCTTTATCTGCCTTTTCATTTCCAAAGATTCCTACATGGGCAGGGGTCCAAATGAACTCTATTTGTTTACCTGCCCTAGTGAAGTTGTTTGAGCTATTGAGTATTTGATTTATTAGTTTGGGGTGGTTTTTAGTGTTTTTATTTTTGAGGGCTTGTAGTCCACTGAGGGATGAGGATTTTTTGGTTATGGGCCGGGAAGGCGAAAATCAATCCCTCGGAGTTAGAAATTACGTTCGCCTTCCCGGTCATCACAAAAATTCTTATTATGGCAGATGATCGCCTTCCAGGTACTTGTTAATTACCAAGAAAACACCAATGAAATGAGGACACTATTTAATCTGGACAACAAAGTAAATATATAACAAGTATAGTATAACATATCATATATCATGCATGTATTTGAAGATGTATATAGACATACATTTTATCATTTATGTAAAAATTCAGTTCATTCCCAGTGCGGTAGATCTGCCACATCGTCAGTGTTGTCCATTGTTGTCGTCAATTGGTTCAACAGATCTCCTTTCAAGGCACAGAGTCTA